CGGGCATCTGGTAAGGATGCCTTCCGGATGCCTCCCTTGGGAGGTTTTTCAGGCGTGTCCAACCGGTAGGAGACCTCGGGGCCGCCCCAGGACACACTGGAGGGACTACATCACCCGGTTGCCCTGGGTTCCCGCGGAAGAGCTGACGGAAGTGGCTGGGGAGAGGACTGTCTGGGCTTGTTTGCTGAGGATGCTGCCCCCGCGACCCGGACCCGGATAAGCAGAGTCGTCGTCCTCTGCTTATCCGGGTCCGGGTACGAGTACGAGTACAAGTAAGCCTGTAGTAAGGACTGTAAGGAAGTGGACTGAGGAGTCAAAGCTGGAGCTACAGGCCTGCTTTGATAGCACAGATTGGAGTGTTTTTGAAGCAGCAGACCTCAATGAACTAACTGACACTGTGACATCTTACATCAGTTATTGTGATGACGTGTGTGCAGACCAAGACCTTCTGTACATATAACAACAACAAACCCTGGTTCACACCCAAACTCAGGTGGCTGCACCAGGCCAAGGAGGAGGCCCACAGGAGCAAGGATGGGGCCTTGTACAAGCAGGCCAGAAATAAGCTGACAAAAGAGATCAGGGTAGCCAAGAGGGGCTACAGTAAGAAGCTAAAAAACAGCTTCTCAGCCAGGGACTCTGCCTCAGTTTGGAGAGGCCTGCGGGACATTACCAACTACAGAAGACCACCCCCCCCCCCACCCTGTGGAAAATCTCCGATGAGCAGACAACCTGAACAGCTTCTGCATGCTTGAAAAGGCCCTTTTCACACGTTTCAACCACACAAAGGGATTACCTGCACCCCCAGCTCCCCCCTCTCCTCTGACCCCCCACCTGCACTAAAGGTCTGTGAACAGGATGTGTATCGGCTCTTCCAGAGACAGAAGACCAGGAAGGCTCCGGAACCTGACGGTGCTGTCTCCCTCCTGCCTGAGAGTCTGCTCTGACCAGCTGGCCCCTACCTTCACTCTGATCTTCAACCGATCACTGGAGCTGTGAAGTACCCCCCTGCTTCAAACGCTCCACCATCATCCCGGTCCGAAGAAGCCCTCCATCACAGGATTAAATGACTACAGGCCTGTCGCCCTGACATCTCTAATCAGGAAATCCTTTGAAAGACTGCTGTTGCACCACCTAAAGGACATCACAGGCCCGCTGCTGGACCCCCTGCAGTTTGCCTACCGGGCAAATAGGTCGGCGGATGATGCAGTCAACATGGCACTGCACTACATCCTGCACCACCTCGACTCCCAAGGGACTTACGCAAGAATCCTGTTTGTGGACTTCAGCTCGGCTTTCAACACCATCATCCCTGAAATACTCCACAAGAAGCTCATCCAGCTCATGGTGCCTGTCTACACCTGTCAGTGGATTACCAGCTTCTTGACTGACAGGAGGCAGTGTGTGAGGCTGGGGATCATCACATCCAGCTCCCGGTCCATCAGCACTGGTGCCCCCCAGGGGTGTGTACTTTCCCCACTGCTCTTCTCCCTGTACACCAACGACTGCACCTCAGGGGACCCTTCTGTGAAACTCCTGAAATTTGCGGACGACACCACGGTCATCGGTCTAATATGGGACTGTGATGAGTCAGCATACAGACAGGAGGTGTTCCTCTGGTACGATCAGAACCACCGAGAGCTGAACCCGCTCAAGACTGTGGAGATGACAGTGGACTTCAGGAGAAGCCCCCCAACACTGCCCCGCCTCACCATCCTCAACAGCACAGTGTCTACTGTGGACACCTTCAGGTTTCTGGATACCACAATCTCTGGTAATTCTGGTACACTGAGAGCAAGTCTACCAGAGTCAAATTCCAAAGCTCTATGGAGCAGTGTATTTTACGAGGGGATCCTATTTTGTTTGTAACTTGTGCATTTTCACACCCAGTAACACCAACTGACAGTTGCAGACAGTAGAATGCCAATGACTGTTTCAATATGGCAAGAAAGAAGAAGAGTATTAGCTAGTAAACCTAGATGTAAACAATGCAGGTTTCAGTTTTAATTTTTCATTTAACACTTTCATTGGGCTGTGTTGCTGTAAGGACTACTTTCTCTTTTGCTTTGTCTAATTGGCTTCTCATGGTTAGTTTATAATTGTTCAATGATGTGATAGTGTGTGACAACATTGACCAGAGTTGAATTCTGTGTGAAAGTTTCACATATTTACTTTTCATCTGTGAGCAAACCCACCAACTGTGGCAATTAGGGCTGAAACGATTCCTTGAGTAACTCAAGTAACTCGATTATTAAAAATCATCAACACAAAAAGGCTTCGAATCGAGGCTGCATTTCATTCAAACTATATACAAAGCACCGTGTTTCGCACGGATGATTAGCTAGGTGGCAGTAATGAACTAAAAAGTTCCAACCGCCATAAAACAAGAAGAAGAAGAGGAGGAGGAAGCACGGAGGACAACGCAGTGATGTCGACACAACGTAAAGAAGGCAGCGGAGAAAGCAAAATGGAACAAGAGAGAGTAAGCAGTGAAGATGGAAGAGAAGAAACTGTCAGAAAACGGCAAAAACAGTCAAAAGTTTGGGACCATTTCAAGCTCAAACTTAAGGAAAACGCGATGCAGTGTGTGCATTGTAAAGTCGAATTAGCATATCATAATAGCACAACATCGATGCTTCAGCAGCTCAACCACAAGCACCCAGTTCATGCGTCCACTCCCCGGTGTACACCCGACACAAGGTAACGCTAACGTTGGCATAAACAAAAATCAATGTGATTGCTGGTTTAGATGTATGCCTGCGAATAAATACGTTAATTGTGGCTAATGGCTATTTAGCCATGTAAATCAATGGCTAGTGTGTTTACTTAAAATGCTGAAGGTTGCCCTAAACCCACTGACCCTATTCACTGAAATCAAACTTAATTGAATATACACACATAACCTACAGTGATGCATAAAATACCACAGAAACCAAAATATCAGTTGGTGTAAGTAGCAAATGCAGCCTAAAATACACCACAGGAGAAAGTCAAAGCTGTTGTCCACGACAATGGTGCTAATGTTGTTGCAGCAGTGAAGATCTTGACAGACAAGCATGGATGGACATCAGTGCGATGCGCAGGTCACACTCTGAACTTGGTTGTGCAAAGTGCCCTGAAGAACCAGCAAGCTATCTCCAGGTGTGTGGCTGCTGCAAGATGCCTTGTTGAACATTTTAAAAAGAGGGAACTGGCATGCACAAAGTTAAAAGATAAGCAGCAGCAAATGGGCACACCACACCACATGCTGGTGCAAGATTTAAGTACACGCTGGAACAGCACTTATCACATGTTGTCCAGGCTGCTGGAACAAAGATGGCTGGTGACTGCTGCTCTCTCTGACCCATTAGTGACTCAGAGGAAAACACCACCTTGATCTCAAGCCTGAACAGTGGAACTTGATTGAGGAACTGAGCCAGGCCCTTGAGCCATTTGAAGGAGCTACTGTGTTTCTGAGTGGGCAACAGTATGCTACCCTCTCTGCACTTCCACAACTTGTGCAAAGCCTCAAGAAGTCCATATAGAGTTTATCTTTTGAGACTGCACCAGTCAAGTCACTCCAGGCTCATGCGGCGGAGCAGATCACAGCAAGATGGCAGGGAATATCTGTGTTTCAACCTGAATGTCCAAACGAAGTCCTACTTGCTGCTGCTCTGGATCCCAGGTTTCAAAAACTCAAGTTCCTGCCTGCTGATGAAGTATTCAAGGTCCAAAGCACAGTACAAACCATGGCACTTGCTGTCAAAAAGAAAGAGAGGCAGTCCAAGGCAAGTGAAAATGGAGCCTCCAACACAGCCCAAGACAGCCCAGTAACACATTCCATAGGTGCAACATCGTTCCTCAGCAACATACTGGGATCATCAGACTCCAACACCAGTGATGAAGAGGACGAGGAGCAGCAGTTAAATCAAACTGTGCAGTAGGAGGTCGTGATGTATTTTGGAGAACATCCTCTGTCAAAGAAGGAGAATCCACTGTCATGGTGGAAAACAAATGCAGCTCCAACTCTAGCAAAGCTGGCGAAGTCTTTTGTGTGTCATCAGAGCGGCTGTTTTCTGCAGCAGGAAACATTGCTTCGAAGTGCAGGGCAAGCCTCAGTTTGAGCATGCTGATATGCTTACTTTTCTTCATTGCAACCACATGCTCATTTAAATACTTACCCTCTCTCTCACTCGCTCGCTCGCGTGCAAACGCGCACACACACACACACACACACACACACACACACACACACACTCCTGAGTACCAGTACCAGAACTGATGAACTGTGAGATTTATTTTTGTGTGTGTTAATCTAATTCTGTGACATTTCTCAAGTGTATTACAATGCACATCTGAAGTTCTATTTGTTGAAAACTGAAGTATGTTAAAATATGTAGAGCAAGACAATTAAGGAGGTGTATTCATGAATACTAACCTTCATAGCATGTTAGCTTTGTAAAAGTGTGAACTCTTGTTCCAAGTTCCAACCTTATTGTCCACTTGTTTTGCATCTTCAGATGCCACAAAGCCTTTCAAGAGGACAGGCTTATGTTATGCCTGAGTAGTTCTAAAAGTTAAGTTGCACAACCTAAAGGCAATGTTTATGTATTATTTATTATTAATAGGTTATGTCTTATTACCTGTTTTAGTGTTTAAAATTCTATTGAAAATTAATTTATATTTTATTTTATTTTGCATTGCCAAAATGATTTCTTTAAAGCCCAGAATGCGCAATCCCAATAAAAATGTTTTTTAAAAAAGGAAACCAGTTACTTGTTCATTTTAAGAGACCCGTCTTATTTTCTCTTTCATGTATAGTATTGCACTTTAATAAACAAAAAGTATTTCTTATCCGATTACTCCATTCATTGATGGAATAATTGATAGAATACTCGATTACTAAAATAATCGATAGCTGCAGCCCTAGTGGCAATTCAATTAAAATGAATACATTTCACTCTGCTGCTTTGACCAGGCCCAAACAGGATCATGAATACACAGATGGAACATCACTGTACCTCCACTTGTATCTTGCATTTCCATGTGCACCAGATCAGGGTCCACATCCACACCAGATACTGACCTGGATCACAGAGGAGACTTACATTAATCAATGGCATTTCTGACTGAGGACAGTACATTTAATCACTTATCAATCAATTAATTAGACTTGAAACCACATAACACCAACTTTAGATTTTAGACAAGAAAGTACATTCAAAAAACTAAATCTTACATGCAATTGGTCTCATTTTAGCCCAGTATTCTTAGGAATTATGTTCACATCAGAGGATTTTGAACCTCAGGATTTACCTCCAATGCCAACGTTCAGTGCCCTTTATGTAGTGAACATAATCTGAATAAGTAATGGATGTAGCCTCTAGCCCCTTTTACACTGCCAGATTTTCCACTAATGTTGGGCCGTTTTGTCGGCAAGCTGTGAGCATTTAGACACACAGAGCCGGATTGGCGAGTTGATCTGAGGTGCCAAATTTTCCGCCTCGTAAGGTAGACATATTGGCAGAACCCTTTTAGTTTAAACAGACCAAGGTGGCCTTATTCAACAGGAGGAGCGGTTGAAGACTTGTGGGAGGAGCTGTTGATGATGCCGCATGTGCGAGCCACTGGCGGTGGATAAACAGGAAACAGCTGATAGCAGGAATTAGCGAGCAGTTAGTAACAAGAGGGAAACGCAAACCTGACAGACACTGTAAAGATGAGCAACTGGGGAGACAAGGAATTGCGCAGCCTCTTTGCCCTCACAAACGAAGATGAAGGACGGGCCATCTTACGAGAGAATCGCCGGAGGACTGAGCAGCCGCAGCTTCCCTCCAACGTCACTGTTTACGTCACACGCTGAGTTACACGTTTTGTTACTTGCTCACGCCCCCATTGCCCCGAAAAAGGCGCATTTTGTATGTACCAAAGTAGGTAGGCGGCATTTTGCCGTACTCCCCGATTTTGTATTTATACTGCCAATGCTGAAAAAAGACTGATTGGGCTTTCCTGCAAATTTGAACAGTTCCTATCTAAAAAGGGGTTTTGTGACATCGCCTACTGGTTTGTGGACTGCTGTTCTGTAGCCTCAAGTACAGCATTTTGGCCATCGCCATCTTGACAATATTTGGACGAGAGGGTGGAGCTGGGGAGGAATGAGGGGTGGATCTGACTGACAGAATGTAGCGATGCCTCACAGACAGCCTGTCACTCAAGTGGCGCCGCCCTTATATATGCGTAAACTTTTGCCTTAATAAATGTAACAGGTGAGTTATATAACAATTCACAGCCCATACAGTTGTCATGAATGAGACCAAAACTATTTTTTATACTAGGCTGTAAACATGTTAATTTCTGCTACAAAGCTAGGCATTTTCTTATGAAGGTCTATAAGTATATCCTCTGCTTTGGAGCCAGTCTCCAGCCAAGTGACCATTTGAGGACTGCAGTTTTTGCTATTTCTGCATGGGCTTCATTTTTTCAGCCTTAGAGGGTGCTACTTGGTAGTAAAACCAACAGTTAGGGTGGATGACAGGTTGGTAAATGTCATATGGTAGATATTGTAAGAAAAAAAAATTGTAAAAGCTGCATTGACAAAAAAACAACAACAAAACAACAACAACTGGGAGCTTTGCAGGATCATCCAATGTCAACTTGCTTGTCTGGGTATACACTTTCAGTATTTCAATATTTAGTCTTCAGTACTGCTCTGGGTTTTTATATGTTGTCATCTCCTTTACAGGCCCTTGCTCATTATTAACCAAAAATATATCTGTCAAAACAACACTGAATATCTGAAATCAATTTAGAGGGCACTTTTGTAAATGCTGGTTATGTTGAAAATTCAATGAAAAAAAGTAAAAAAAAAAAAAAGACATCAATTTCACCACACTGGCACATTGTTATTTGATAAATGAAAATTTTAAAACTGAATATTAGGCTTAAATGTACAGTGAAGAAATCCTAGGTTGCAGTATACAAGTACACATGTATATCATTTAGTCCACTGTGATTAGACAGGTACCTCAGTAAATATGCACAGCTCAGCTCTCCTTGTAAAGAGCACTCAGATGTACTCAGTCTTGCCTAATATGCTTAAATTTCTCCAGAACTGTAATCCCGCTTTTCCTCCTTCAAAGCCCACTGACATACACTACCATACACTCGCTCTGTGTGCCCCTCATTTTATGTGATTACAAGGGCACAGGGCAGCCTGTGACAGTCCCCAGCCCAGTAAAGATAGAGTGGAGATTTAAAACCTTGTTACTTTGCCTATAAAGAGACATTATGTGCAATTAGCCGATCGTGGGGGGGGGGGACAAAGGAGACAAGATGGATTATAGGAAGTGCTACAGGAACATGGTTCAATGTTAAGTGATCTGTATGACCAGATTACCTACAGCTTTATTAAAATCATTATGAACATTATGAAAATAATACTGACGCGACAAGGATCAGTTAAATGAACGTGATATTAAAAATATAAAGGAATCAGTTTAGTATTGTTGTTAACACTCTGGCAACCTGTAACTTCTATTCCTACCACAGTGACCTGACATTGGCTATGGTTACATGATGACTTCTCATTCAGAATGAAATAAATCCGAATGAAATCATTCGGAATTAAAGTTTTTCCAGGTAGTTTACATGGGAAATATTCATTTGGAATGAGGGTTTACACGGGAGATCAGTTTAATCACCTTTATTCGGGTCTGTGCATGGTGCACAGACATGGGGCAGGGCAGGTTTCTGATTGGATAGGGGGCGGGGCGGATGTTACGTGTATAAAAGCCCTGCATAACGACGTTACTTTAGTATAAGAATGTAAGTACAATGAGGAAAATGTATTGACATATTAAAGGTAAAAGTACTTATGCATAAAATAAGAATAATTAAAATAATGAAAGGAAAAGCAGCAAGTCCTCATATTTGAGAAGCTGGAACCATTAAATGTTTTTGCATGAAAATGACTTAAAGGATTACCAGAACAGCTGCCAATTAATTTTCTCATAAAATCAAAAATTGTTTAAGCTGCACTTGAATATTTTTGTATCATTTGTGTGCAGAAATCTCAATTTGTAAAATAACTAGAACTAAAGTTATCAAATAATTGTAGTGGAGTAAAAAGTACAATGTTTCCCTCTTGAGTGTAGTGGAGTAGAAGTAAAATGTTACATGAGATTAAAATACTTAAGTAAAGTAAAAGTACCTCAAATTTGTATTCTAGTACAGTACATGAGCAAATGTACTTAGTTACATTCCACCACTGAAATTCTCAAATTTAAAATGTATGAGTTTCCTCACGTGGGGTAACAATTTGTGGTCAGTGAAAACAAGATGTCCATCATGTTCAAATTGTGGACATGAACGAAAATAAGAGGAAATTTGTTTGAATATTGTTTTTAGCATGAGGCACATGGTGTGGCAGAATAAGATCTGTTTATTTAACCCACATTTAAAAAAGAAGAAAAGGAAGTGCACACTGTACATCATTTCCAGTAGTGCTGTGTAGTGTTTCTGTGTTGTGTAGAGTGGAGTTACTAATGACTGTGTGCATCATATCCAGGGGATAATGTCAGTAAATTTGAGTAAAATACAAACTTCACCTATCCAGTGCAGATGTACAGCATGAAACACAGACACAGGGGCATAACTTCTAAATCACATTACGTATCCTGGTAATATTACTCCTGAGTCAATAGGGCTTCAGGCTGTGATTTTGAGAAGGATAAGGATGACAGTACCATTAAATACAGGAGAGTGAAATCAGAAAAAAACATGATTGCATTTGGCACAAAACTTAAAAGAGGTTTATAGTGAATGTCAATATGACAAAAATAGTCCAATAAAACAGTTCAACATGAAGTGGAAGTAAATGGATTGGTTGGATCAAAAAAGGACAACAAAATACCTAAAAAAAAAATGGAATACACTATATACACAACCATGAGGGGACAGGACCACAGAGTGTATTTTTGCCTGAAAAATGATAGAAACAATAAATTGATGAAAAAAAAAATCTGTAATACAAATGCAATTGTGATTAAAAAAAATGATACAACATAAAGTACAAAATCAGGAAGGGCAGAAAATTGCCGCCTACCTACTTTTGTTTATACAGAATGCGTCTTTTTCAGGGCAATGGGGGCGTGAGCAAGTAACAAAACGTGTAGCTCAGTGTGTGGAGTAAACAGTGACGTGGGAGGGAAGCCGCGGCTAGACAGACGGTGGTAGTCAGACGGCGATTCTCTCGTAAATCGGCCCGTCCTTCACCGTCCCCGTCATCTGACGGTTAATGCCCTCTTCGTTTGCGAGGTCAAGGAGGGCGTGCAATTCCTTGTCTCCCCAGAAAGGCCGCCCCGGTCTGTTTAAACTGAAAGGGTTCCGCTGATATGACTACCCTCTGAGACGGAAAATTGGTACCTTGGATCATCCTTTCCGCCTCTGTGTGTATAAACGTTCGCAGCTGGCCAGCAAATCAGCCCAACAGTCGTGGAAAAATCTGGCAGTTTAAAATGGGCTTTTGTGTCTCTGCTGTGGGCGTTGCAACTCCCTCACTTTCCCAGGTTCCTGATTTGATTTGTTCATCTCACCTGGGCCCTATTTCAGCAAGCAGGATTAGTGAAAACTCTGAGTATGTAAGGCCTGAGATGAGGGAAACTCTGATTTTTCCATTTCACAAAGCCAGTTCAGCAAAACCGTGAGTCAGTTACTATGGCAACTAGTGTTGCACGGTATACCGGTACTAAAATAGTACCGCGGTACTAGAGTATTCCAAATGGATACTGCATTTGGAAAATACCGGTACTTTGAAATTGTTTCAATTAATTAATTTATTTTACTCAATTATGCACACAAACGCCTTTCTTGTTCCTATTGGAGCACAGATTGCACAAGTGGTGTGTATGACAACACCTGTATCAACATTCACAGCTGGTGCACGTGAAAAAAGACAAGAGAAAGTCTGCCTCGCAAAGGGAGACAACACAAGACAACACAAACTTGGTGGAACATTTGAGTTATCAAACCGTCCGTACCGAGGTACTTCCCAAACCATGATTTTTTTGGTACCGTTACACCCCTACT